CGATCGCGGCGCGTCTGGTTTCCGCCAGCCGCTGTTCGTATCAACGATACGGTAGTTACCAACGGGTATTATCGATACAGCGAGCGTGCTTTTAGCGACTAAATATATCTGGTCGTTTGCCGGTGCCGGCAAAGAGGCAGAGCCACGTCGGTCGAACGAGACCAAACGATACGCGACGACTGCAGGGGAACGCGTCTGCTACGACGCCGTTCTTTGAAGTGGTTTCCCTCGGACCGCGAGTATTAAACGGATTCACCTGATCGTAACCGCGGCCGCGTACCCGAGACATTCGAACAGGAGGAAGCGTGCTACGCTCCGGAAGCTTCTAAACGACCGGAAGCGAGCTCGCGGCGGCTTTCCCTTTGACGCTCGCGGCTCGGCTTTCAACGTACTCGTTGCCTTCGGCATTCTCGGAGAAATATCGTTATTTAAGGTAACGCTATATATAACCTACAGTGGCAATTTCGAACGTTATAAAACACCCGATCGATCCGAATCGCCGTATACGTGCGTCGATATTAATAACGTTCGATCGACCGAGTCGAAATTGAGCCGGAATTTTTGAAGGCGGCGAACTCGTTAGACGTTACGCGATAATAGGTCGAACGAGCATATTGGTCCGAAGCTAAGGGGTGTGTAAGGGGAGACGGCGATTTTGCGGAACCGATCGGACCGCTCCGCGTTTTCCGCTTTATTTCTGCCGCGTATCTCTTCGAGGATTATAACGTTTATCTTTCGTGGTTAATAACGGAATTGAATCGCGTGAAATTTCTAACTCGTAATAATATCGCGGCCCGTTTTTTCTACGCGTTAAACCGTATAATTACGATAATCCGTCGATGGATATCGCGCGGCGTTCACGTACGGCTACCTACGTATTTAGCGCGCAAGGCAATTTCCTGCTTTATTATAATAATATCCGGAGCAATCTGCTCTCTACCCGCCATCCACGGCGTGCGCTCGCGTCCTCGCGAGGAGTATTGTCGAGCGCGGATCCTTTTACCGAACTCCGTCCGCTTCCGTTTTCCGCGATCAGGAACGTTGTTCGGGGAGAGTCGAGGGAAGCTCGAAGAAATCGATGAGACAAGATTCGACAAGAAAGCGAGGAGATCGTAAAAGCGAGGGAGGAGGATGAAATTAGGGCGAAAAGCATCTAGAAGCGTCTTCGAACATCCGTCGACGACGAGGGCTCGACTATTCTTACCGGTCGGCCGCGCTCGAAGCTCCGCTTCTGGACGCGATAAATCGCGCGACTAGAGTGGCACGCCGCGCCACAGTATAGGTAAGAAGGGCGAGGAGAACGGAGAGGCGGGCAGGAGTGGCAAAGAGGAAAATGGAGAGAGGAAAACGGTGCTCCCTGTCAGCGATTGCCCCCTCTGGTAAGAAAAAATGGCTGCTGTCGAGGCTGGATGCCGCGTACCGAACCGTAATGTCGTACCACCCTCCACTGTTACTCGTCCTTCGCGCAGACCCCGCGAGCGGGCATTCGAAGCCCGAGGAGGAACGGGAGGGCCACCGTGCCGAAAGAAACAACCTGGTCGGGAGAAAGGAGGACGAGCGAGCGAGCGGAACGAGGAGGAAGAATAACTCGATACAGGAGGCAAAGGGGCAGGCACGTAGAATCCGCGTGACAACCACCACCGTCTCTATCGTTGTCGCTACCAGCGTCGCCTTCGTCGACG